ACTGTATATTAATTGCCTTTACTAGATTCCATAAGGCTTAATATCTGAGAGGTTTTCTTTTTAATTGAATTGTGATCCTCATAAAATGTACTGGCTGTGAAATGGTTCAGATTAGGGGCACATAAGAAGTTGTTTACTACCAAACTAACATAAAGGTTTGTTTTTTGACAAACCAAAAATGGTTAATGGCCACCAAATAGCCTCATTCCTCTAGTTAGCCCACCAAATTTTGCCCAGGCCCCAATTTTAAAACTAATACAGCCCAATTCCAAAACTATAAAAAAATTTCAAAAAAAAAAAAAATTTTAAAAAGAAAACCCTAGTGAGGGTAAAATGGGAAACAAAAATAAATAAACAAGAAGCAGAAAAGCTGGACTACAACTCACCTATATATTCCCTTAAACCCTTCCGCCTCTTTCAAATTCCTCCCAAACGCTCCTTTCTCTCTCCTCCTTAAACCCTAAACCCTTATTTTTCATCTTCGATCTTCCGCCATGTCTATGCAATTTTGGGGTATGTTTAATCAAACTCTTTATTTTTTTCTTTGATTTCTTAAATTTCTAGATTTTTGTTGTTTTCGTGTCAGTTTTATTTTTGATATTGTGTTCGATTTTTTTTTTCCCCGGAGTTTTCATTTTGATTTTTATTTGTTATTGCTGGAGTTTTATCTGATTATATGATGATAGCTGTTCGATTGATGAACTTTTGTTGTTTGTGATTATTTGTGTGTTAATTTAGGTTTTGGTGTTTTTGTATCAGTTTTCTGTAGTTTTGAAATTCATGAATATATTCGCTGTTTGTTTGATGATGACATATGAATTTTCATTTGATTTTATGTTGGTGTTGACATAACATGTGAAATTTCATGATAATTAGTAATGAAATGTAGCGTAAACTATGAAATTTTTTTTTTTGCAGAAGTTGTAAAAATTTGAAATGAACCCTAACAACTGTATAGTCTAAGTTATATCTTTCGCAAGCGTGTTTGGAATCGAACATAACTTAATAAATAATGTAAGATTATCATACTTAAAAATAATCTAGTCAGAAAAAATTTGAATGTTGGAATGTTGTTTTCGTCATCATCCATTTCCTTTGCACTGTTCATGCATAATTGTTTTAGGTTCATACTTGAATAGCTCTGACTGTCGAACATGGTTGTAATTAGGTCTGTTTTACGCCATTACTGCTACCACAAGGGTATGTGGAACTTCAGTTTTCACTTGTTCTGTCATTTGTTTGTTTTGGAGTGCTCTTATTGTGAAAATGAGAATGTATGCGATTTTATGCTCAGTGTTATGATGAATGTGTATGTGGCATTTCCTTGGCATGTGCGCCAGTCTAGAGCGGCGACTGTAGCTCTTTAAGTTCTAAGTCATTTTGTGCATTTGTTGTTGTATAGGTGTTGAGGTTAAGTCCAAGGTGCCTAGCAAGGTGGAACTCGAATTTGGCAATGTCATCCATCTATCTCAGGTACTTGAATTGGTACTTTGAATTCTTGACTTGATTAAATGCTGGAGTTTATAGTAGGCTTACTTTGGTTTTTCTGTTTTGTCAGGCTACACTAAGTGACGTGAAGAAGGATAACGAGCCTGTAGTACTTCGTGTCAAGGTAGATGGAAAGGATCATGTTCTTGGAATTCTAAGCCAGTCCACACCTCAATTGTGCTTCGACTTGGTGTTTGACTCTGAGTTTGAGATCTCGCACAACTTCAAGAATGGAAGCGTTCACTTTTTGGGATACCAGACCGAGATGCCAATGAGATATCCTTGTTCTTTGTTTTGTTATATAACTTATTTTTAGCTTTAATTTGTTTTAATGGTCTTAAATTAATCATTGCAATTGAAAGTGATTGATGCTCTAAATTTTTTAATTATGATTAGATGTACAGAAATAGTTTCTTTGGGTTGTGCGAATAATGTTAGTAGCTCATATCTGACCTGTTGAATGTGTAGTTCAGGTTTGTTTGTTTATGTTATTAAATTGTTTTTAAGAATTTATTTATATTTTGACTTGTATTACCTGGCTTCCTTGACTTTGTTTCTGTGTGTGCCACTGATGATGAAATGATGTCTGATGACGATGATGAATCAGATGAAGAGGTTCCAATTTTGCAGCAAGAAAATGGTAGATATTTTTTAGAACAAAGTATTCGAGTTTTTTGTTCATTTTGATGCATGGCCTGATGTTTGACTTTCTCAGGAGTAGCCGCTGCTGCAGCTCCTAAGCCAAAGGCTGCTGCAAAGCCTGTCAAAAACGCTCCTGTTGAAGAAGACAGCGATGAAGATGATAGTGATGATGATGACTCTAGTGATGAGGTACCAACTCTTACAGTCATACATAGTATCAAGACGTGCTAACTGTTGCACACAAGTTAGTGTTTTTGTTATGATTGTGGTTATATATTGACCTGGAGTATTGCTATTGCAGGACATGCCAACACCTTTCAGTAGTGAATTTGGTAGTGACAGCGACGATGATGAAGAGGATGATGACGAAGATGATGAGTCAGATGAGGATGACACACCAGCAAAGGCACCTGCAAAAGTGGGCATTTGTTTTAATACCTATATGATATAGTTCTATCTAGTTAGCATTGCTGATCTTATGTATTTGTGTTTTAGGCTGCATCTGGCAAGAAAAGGCCCAACGCTGATGCTAAGACACCCGAGTCTAAGAAGGCTAAGCTAGTCACTCCCCAGAAAACAGGTTGGCTTTCAATGTCCAGTTTGCAGCATATCTTCCTCTTTTATATAGTTGTGCATGTTGGATCTTGTTTGACTGACAATTCCTATGTGATCGTGTGTGCCAGATGGAAAGAAGGGTGCTGCTCACACAGCAACCCCCCACCCGTCGAAGAAAGGTGGCAAGACTCCAGGTGACAAGTCAGCTTCCAAGTCTGCTGGTTCAGCATCTTGTGATTCTTGCAAGAAGTAAGTCTATTCTTAGGTTTGTATACATCTAATTTGTAAACTTGAAGTGTCTGGTTTGAAGCTAACATGTTGTATCAATGTTTTGCAGGACCTTTAACTCAGACGTCGCTCTGCAATCTCACAACAAGGCCAAGCATTCTGCCAAGTAGAGTGTTGAAATTCATCATTTAAATGGGTTTTTTTATATGAATGATTAGTGAAAAGAAGGGCAAGGAGCTTAGTCTCAAATTTTGGTGTCTTTTTTTTTGTTTTTTTGGTCTTCAAATTGTTTGTGGGAGGGATGTGACTATCGTCGGAGGATGTTATCTAGATCAGAGTAGAAGTTTCAATATTATGTTAATCCTGCAAAATATTTGCTATATCAATGATTAAGTCGAGATTTTATAAGCACTTGTGTTTGCTATATCAATGTTTGTTACCACCGTATTATGCCTGTCTGCTTATGGTGTTGCTCATTACCTCCCCCCTCTGAATTGGGAGGTTTTGTTCTCGTCTCTAGAAATATGGGAGAGATGCACCGGAATCACTATAAATCATACGGAGTAATTACTTAGGGGTACAATTACCTTGAACGCTGTTTACCTGGCTAACTTCCACAAGTAAACTTGGTATCCCCTACAAGGCTACAAGTAACATATACTGCCTATGTTCATTGTTTTTAACCTGCATAAAGAATTGCCTTCATAAAACATGTATATGTTAATATTTTAAAATTCGACTGTTCAGTATTGCAATCTTGGCTTAACTGTATAATTGAAATATTGCTTAGATATATGGCATGATTTCATTTTAAATTTTTTTAAAAAAAAAAAAAATTGTTTAGCATATTAAACTTGTCTCCATAATATAAAGTCAGACAAATATTTTTTTTTAACGCAAAAGACAGACAAATTAGAAACCAGAAAATATTACTTGTATAAATTATGACTTATTTTGGGAATCCTGGTAACCCCATATAGAACAATCACTAAGCCAAAGAAAGGAATGATGTCAGTTTCGGCAAACAAAAACCACTTTCAGACATTATGCAAACACCAAAATTTAAAACAATAGTACTCTGTAATAAACTTCCAGGTAAACAGTTGAAAAAAAAAAGAAAAGGTTCATTAATTCCTTTTGAAGGCTTTAAACTAGCGATGGAAACTCCTCCTTCGAAGTTTAACATACAATTCGCAAACGCAATCCTCCAACATTGCCAAAAAAATGTTAACCCGTACACATGAGTTGTGGTTGAAACAAAAATCAAAAAAAATTTCTTGTTCCTGAGGAGGGGTAGCTGCATCAGCAAAACTCAAGAGAATGTAAGATCTTGACAGGAAATTTAATCGAAAAAATGCACAAAGACGATATTTCTAATCTAATAAAAAAAAGTAAGAAAACAATGTGAGAATTTGCTGACAGTACTCTAGAAGTGCTGTGGCATAAGCCTGATTGTATAACCTCAAACAAGAAATTTGGTTTTTGAATCCAGACCAAATAGATCATTAAGAAGTGTCCATAAGACCACTTATGTAAGATCATTAAATTATGCAAGAAAAGAACATTTTCCCGATATAGATAGTATTCCTAACATTTCTAACATCCGCGCAGCGGGCTCTTGTCTATTGGCAACAAGGACTCTAGCAGGGTGCTGAAGGAGTTCATAAGCACATACCAGGACAAGTGAGATACAGGCTTGTTAGAAACTATTGCCCATTGGGCAGAGTCGAGAATCGATCAGGACTCAAGACAGCCGCGCAAATCAAGGCTGGTACAAGTCCAACAACCAGAATTATCTATTTCAATGTAATTGTTAAACTATCTGTTTTGGGGCGTATTTAACAATTGTTGATATATATATCTACAAGGGCCTAACTTGGAATTCGTCAATCACTCGCTCCCTAAAAGATACTTCGTAAAATTAGCTTATCCCCTGTTGAACATTGATTTTAGTAACATAATACATTGAATCTAAAGTCTAGAAAACTTAAAAAGTCCTAGATTTAATTTCCATGAATATCGCAATCACTACTATTACTAACCAAACAAACTTGAATGGCATTGCAAAAGTTCAACAACAATAACAATTCCAGTAAGAAGGCATTCCCATTGGCAAGAAGCAATAAGAAAATTGTTCACTAAATAACATGATTGGCTCAATTGACATTATGTCCAGTACAAGCAAGCATCCCAATACTAGTATCCTACAGAATTAATTAGCAAGATTGACACTCCTAAACTTCCTGCTAAACCATTGGTCTCGAATACAAAACGCTACAAAGCTTTATATCCAACTAGAGCTTAAGATCAAATGGAAAAAAAAAAAAAAAAAAAAAAAAAAACAGAATTACATAATTCTTTCAGAGACCTTTAAACCCGAAACACCTCTTTCCAAGAACCTGCAATAACCTGCAACCTACAACCTGCAACCTGCAAACGCAACCCTCCAATATTTCCAAAAATAGATCACCTGTACACAAAATTCCACCATAAGCTATGGTTAAAAAGATGCTTGTTCCTGAAGCAGGAAAAACTGCACCTGCAAAATTCATTTAAACGTAAGATCTTGACCGAGGATATATTATCGAGGAGGATAAAACCTAATAAACAACCATGTGAGACTTTGCTGTCACTACTCTGGAAGTGCTGTGGCTTATTCCTGACTGTATACACTCAAGTAAGGGATTTTCTTTTTAAAAGCCAGACTAAAAGGCATGATAGAACAACAAGAAACAATGACAAGAGTTTTTCCATCTACAATATTTTGTAACTGAATGACACAGCAGGATGATAAAATGTCAAACAAAGACTTGACTAATGTATGAGTCACAGGAAAGATGACAATTAGGAGATATAGGACAGCAAGGTTAAGCCTGCACTTTCTACCACAGAAAGTCAGAAAGAACATGCACAATGAAAGATGCAAATATAAAATCTCAAGATAAGTTTGATTACAGGGCAAGATAAAAAGTTTAAAATGGACACCATGAAATTTTTACAAAATATCTTTGATAAAGAAGAGAAGTTTTTTTGTTTTTCTTTTTTTTTTTAGAGACTAATACTAACAATGAAATTAGGAAGATGAATAATTTTGCCTTTAAAAGAAGTTACAGAACAAACAATTGATATGCATGCAACACTAGACATAATTAACAGCTCTGTCGGAAAATGGTGATTTACAAATTCAAAAAAGGAAAATTAGAGAAGAAAACATTTTGAACACAACATGCATCATGCAATATGGAAGAAGTTTGTTAATAAAAAGGAGAAACACATCACATTCCATATGTGACATAAGTGTGAACCTGCACACCTGCACATTGGAAAATGGGCTGTAAGAAAAATTTAATTAACTTTTGAACAAAGCCATTGTGAGTAATCTTTAACAAGCCACACCACGAATAAATAAATAGTAAGAAACGAACCATGTCCAAGTTAATCAATATCCCTCCTGATGAGTTTGTTGTACTGGCTGCTGGAACCCATAATTTTCTTCACCATTGCATGCACCTTCATTGTAATAGACATCATTATTGTTGCCAGCGTCAGTCTGCATCTTAGCAGCCTCTTCTTTTTCCCTATTCCATTGCTCAATTTTTGCACGCCTCTCTTCACTACCTTCCCTGCTAGGGCTTCTTCTGTCCCTCCTACTAGCAGGACTTCTGCTTCTTCCCCGCCTGTGATCAGGGCTAGTGCTTCTATGCCTCCTGCTTCTACTTTCATAATAGCTATCCCTATCATCATGTCTTTTGCTGCTATGACTACGCCCATGGTGTCGGTCATCATAGTCATAGCTTCTACGTCTGTATGGACTTCTACTACGGCTTCTGCTTCTGCTATGTCTTCTTCTATACCTCCCAAACAATTGACGCCTCAACTCCCTGACCGTACAAATTCAAAAGTTAACACAGGCTCCAGCAATACATATAGCTGAAAGAATATGAACAAGACTCCATTGAATTTACCTGCTGATCCTCTTCAGATGCATAAAGTTACAATATCCACCTCGATTGCAATTATTCTCTTCATATTGCCTGCAAGTTGCTTCGCGAAAATCTGTGACTGGAGAGAAGTCTACGATAATAGGACGACCTACAAAGCACATTGCAGATCAATTGCATTAATATCATATGATTCATTATCTATATAAAACCCAGAAAAGGCTTCCAAAGCAAGATTCTAACAAGGCTTAAAAATAATAATAGTATATTACCAGCATAGAATCTCCCAGTTAAATTACGGTGTGCATTAGCAGCTTCTTCTTCTTCCCTGTACTGAACATAAACATTGCCTACCTAAAAAGGTTGGATGAAACACCACAACTTAGTTTTATGGCTGCACATTTCAAAATTACGACTAGATGAAATGTAAATGTGGTAAGACATACTTACCATGTGGTCAGCCAGATTGTCACAGATATTCAGAGACTCAATTTCTCCATATTTGTTTAATTCCTCAAATAGATCTTCATAAAAATCCTAAGAGTTCATACCAAAATAAAAATAATCAGGGCCAAGTGACGAAATGCGATCCAACTTAATTATTTGCTTGTAGAAGAATTATAAGTCCTAAATTCCAGTGCAAGGTATTTATCACATGAAATGTAAACACTAAAAACAATATGATTCTTGAATAATTCAATTTACAATACCCAAAAAAATAGTACTTTAAAACACATATTGGATAAGCATTCTTGAAAAAATCTGGAACATATTGGCAATAATGATAACATATCAAATCATGTATACATGCATACATATACATTAATGGTTCTATACTATCAAGATAGCGAGTTATTGATTCCTAAACATAGTTGCAAGTAAACAATAAGGTCCATAACACACAAGCATTCAACCAACATTCTGTCCTCAAATCAATCAATCAATCAAAGCCTTAATCCCATAAGTGGGGTCGGCTACATGAACCAAATTTGATTATTCCATGTAGTCATCGACAAAAATCTTCCTCTTCCATTCCTTACGATCCAATGCCTCATCCTCATTCAAATCTATATACTTCATATCCTTCCTAACTCCTTCTAACTAAGTCATTTTCGGTCTCCCTCTCCCTCATTTAACCCCTCCATGGTCCCACTCTTCTACTCTTCGTACCGGTGCACCCCAGGTCTTCGTTTTACATGACCAAACCAACGCAGACGATTTTCCCTTAGCTTGTCCGCAATGCTTGCCACACCTAAATTTCCTCAAATATATGTTAAATTTCCTTTAACCCTTTAGTCATCCCCTAAGTACAAAATTCCAGTAGTCTTAGCTGTAACTACATCAACTGAACAAGCAACGAATCACAATTTCCCTCAATCCTCGAGAAACAACGATCTTGCTCGTTACCAAGGTCAAGTAAGTTTCTTTAATTACAATATTAAAACCTCCAAAATCCTCTTATACAAGCAATCAAGCAGAACAGAACAGGTTATTGCAAAGAAAAATGCTCACCATAACTCCAATTTATCATAATTTCCCAAAAGAAAACCCAACATTACAAATTAATACAATCAATTAACTAATCCGCAAGTGAAATAAGACTGCTCAAGCCAAAGCTTTCACGAGGTTATTAATTTTCTAACACGAAACAGAAACGCACACTACAACCAGAAACAAACAATCAAACAACCGCAAAAATTTGAGGAGATTTTATAACTTAAGATTAAAACAAACAACAAACAATCAATTAATCGACTGTTAAAATTAAGGAAACTTATAATTTTCAATAAACAGAGCCGAAACAATCAAATAATCAACTGCAAAACTTTAATGGACGTATGATTTTAGATTAACACGAAAGGAAATAGCAAAATCAATCAATAGATCAAATGCAAAACTTCCACAATTCATAAATTTAGATTGATACGAACTGAAAACAATCAAATAATCAACTGCGAAAATTTTGAAATCATTCTGAAGCAGAATCAATTAATCAGCTGCAAAACTTTGATCCAAAATTAACACGAAGCACAACCATCAATTAATCAACAGAAAAAAAAAAAAAAAAAAAAAAAAAAAAAAAAAAAAACAACCCAAAATACAATCAATCAAACAAAAATATTAAAATCAAACTAAAAAATTAGTAAAAATTACCTCAAAATGCTCCTGAATTTTGCGAGGATCAATAGGATTACCCTGAGCATCAACACCAGGAGTAATCATATCAGCACGTTGATACATATTAGACAACAAAAGAGTAGGACTAATACTAGGCTTAGTATGAAGCCTAGAACATCGATCGCCATGTCTGCATGCTCCGATCTTAAAGTAGAAAGGACAATTAACTCTATCTTTTTCAGTACCAAAAATGGAGGCCAAGTTTTTCGCCATTGTTGATTGATTCAAGCTTTTTTCTGAGTTTTCTCTCTCCGAATTGAGATTGATCTAGGGTTTTTTTGTTGTTTTTCTCACTGTTTGTGTAGAAGATTGAAGAACATGAGATTGGGGGATATAATTAGTTCTACGGGTTCTGGATAGTTCTACTATAATTTTGTTTTACGACAAATTATTTATATATTTTGATTGTGAAAAAGTAAACAGATTAGCTGGTTTGCCCGAGTGGTTAAGGGGGCAGACTTAAGATCTGCTGCACATAAGTGCGCGTGGGTTCGAACCCCACAGCCAGCATCTAGCATATTTTTTGTTTTCCATAGATAGCAAATAGTTGGAGTTGTATTATTCCGCACATACCGTTAAAAATTAGTATTATTTTAAGTAAATTTTCCAAAAATAATGGTTTCTACATTTATTTTTTTAATTCTCTTCGTTACGATATTTACTACTTCTGCTTTCCATCTCCTTCTAATCCTCCTCCTCCCCCTTCTTATAATCCTCCTCCACCCCATCATTAGACTTCAATATTTTAGCGCTACAATGACCTAATGGGCTATGCAGAACCACAACATGCAATAACGTCCCGGGCCGGACAAGGATTCTCTTTGCATAGTGGATGATACGTGAAGGTCACTTTAAGTTAAGATGCACTCGGGACCTAAAATATATTGCCTCCGTTTCTTAATACGTGCAACCAAAAAATATTTTATGTCTCCAAGAAAAGAATAAACCCTAAACCCTAAAGAAAACTATATTTGAATTTGCAATAATCACAAACATGTAAAGACAAATATATATATATATATACTACGTAACAATTTGAATGGGGGATTTTGTATGATAGTTGGCGTAGGTGCATCTATCACACTTAACAATTAAAGCAAGAATCTTCCTAAAATACTTATGATTTTGTGAAGCATAAATGTTAAGTGATTAAGAAAAACTAGGAAAGAGTGTGATTGAGAGAGGACTAAAATATTTTTTTTGGTGTAGAGAGAGGACTAGAATATAATTTTGTGAAACATAAATGTTCGAAGTTAGAGAGGGAAAGAATGTGATTGAGGTTAGGAGAACTAAAATATGACTTGGTGAAACATAAATGTTAAAAGTTAGGGTCTTAGGGAGGGAAAGAGTGTGTAGTGGTATTGTTGTTAAGTGTTAACAAGAGTATGTATTCTCTTCTTCAACTATAAAATCAGCAACAACTAATGAATTGTTTGTTAAATCACGCAAAGATTGTGCTTGCTCTAAAAAATTGACTATCAACAATATGAATAGATAATCAACAAGAACTGTCATTTGATATAATGCTAAGCGGTCGATATACTCGAGATCCTTTAGATTTATATTACAAATTACAACTAAATATAAAGAAATACTTGTTTTGTAGCGCAATAGCACCATAATTTTTTTACTTGCTAAAAACACAAAAAGAAAAAAAATATTCTAAATTATTTTTATTCTCTTCATTACGATATTTCCTACCTCTTCTTCTCCACCTCCATCTCTTTCTAATCTTCCTCCTCCCCCTTCAATAATCCTCCTCCCCCATCATTAGACTTCGCTATCTTGGCGCTACAATGGCTCGGCCCAAGGGGCTATGCAGAGCGACAACATGCAATAAAGTCCCAACAGCCTGATGATATGTTCATTTTATATAGTGTTTTACCCCCGTCCCTTGGTCATATTTAGGAGTATTTTTGGCTCTTTAGAGCCACTTTTATTACTAATATGTGTTTTCTAGTGTTTTCGTAGATTTGGTATTGTTTTATAGGATATTGCAAATATGGAGCATTTTCCCGAACTTACGATAAGCCACTACGAGCATTGGAGAAATATGACCATATTTCGTAGCCCAAGACCGGTTAGAGTCATCAAACCGGTGATTAAGGGCTCAGCGAAGAAAAAGAGTTCGAGGCATTGGACCGAGTAGTAAAGACCCAAAGAGGAAATCCGGATTGGGCCAAGAAAGTGGCCCAATCGAAGTCCATGTTTGCCCGAGTGCTCGCCCAACCGAGTGGGTGCCTCGCCCTAAGGCGCGAGTGAAGGTCTTCTCACCAAAAAGGCGGGCCCGGCCGGGCGAAGCTCCGCCCGACCGGGAGCGTGTTTTTAAGAGGATTTCGACATTTTTAATTTTTTTTTTATTTAGGATTTTTGTGCTTAAGTATAAATACATTTAGTTAAGCTAGATACGATTACTTCTTCTCATTAGTTAATTTACAGATTTTAGTTTTAAGCTTATGGTTAATACTCTTGTTTTCTCTCTCTACACTTTTAGTTTATGCAATTCATTATTTCCGTTCATTTTGGTAAACATTTCTTCCCCTTTATTTTCAGTAATTAATTGCTTTGATTGATTATATCTCGTTTATTTGATTTGCTTAGTTTAGATTTAAATATGTGTAAGTAGTTTTATTTCTAGGGTTGTGGGGATCCATAAATAATATGAAGGGGTAATTTACTTTTGTTGATTGTTCATGCTTTGGTTGATTTCCTATTGATTGATTTAAGGCTATGCAATTAGATTAGGCCTGGTTTAATTGTATGAGTTGTGCAATATTGATTCGAGATTTGAGAGATAAGAATTGATGTTTAGGCTTAGTTTCAATAGGCAGGTTAATTTATAAATGGTTAAGTCAAGATTCGAGAGATACGATTTTATACTGGTAGATTAATTCTGTGATTGTAATATGTAGCGAAAGCCTTTTATGATATGATTAATTGATGCATTAATAATAGATTGTTGTGTTTTACCCTGTAATATTATTTATTGGTGAACCTATACCCTAGGCTTTGATTTATTGATTTCCTCCCTTATTCAATTTGCTTAAATTTATTTATTTTCCTTAGTTTAATTCTCACAAAAATAATTTTGCTACTTAATAGTTTAGATTATATTAATTATTTATGAATAGAAAGACTTGTTTCCCTGTGGATTCGACCCTACTTTCTTATCTACTTTAGTTAGAGGACTTAGGTAATTCTTTTGATTAGATGATACGACTTTAGCCTGTCAAAATTTGGCGCCGTTACCAGGGAGACGGTTTTATTTTTATTCCTGATTGTTTCTGTAGTCTAGATTATATTCTTTCATCTTAGAGAACGCAAGTTCTTTGGGACAATTTCTCATATTTGTTTGTTTAATTCTGTGTTTATGCCCAGGAGTTCTCTATCAGGTTACATTCCATTCGATCCTGAAATCGAACGTTCTATTCATAGACAGAAGAACCTTTTCATATAGGTACGAGCTACTTCCGAGGGTAATACACCTTTGGAACCCCCATCTGATTCTAGTGACTCAGAACTTTATTCAGAACCAGAATCAGAGATGACGGCTCAATCACCTCGCAAGCTCAGTGATTATTCGCAGTCGTCCCTGACGGATTTTCCACATCTTGCTCTTACACCTAATCTCGAGGGAGTACAATTTGAGATCAAACCCCAGTTTATCACTATGATCGAAAGGAAGCAATTTAGCGGAGCTAAGGGTGAAGATCTAAATCTTCATATTTTGAATTTTTGCCAATATTGCAACACTATTAGGCAAGCTGGGGTCACGCAGGACCAAATCAGGGAGATTCTTTTTCCCTTTTCTTTATGTGGTAAAGCTAAATTATGGTACAATGGATTGAATAGAACTGCACTTGGTATTACTGACTGGGATACTCTTGCTTTAAATTTCTATAATAAATACTACCCTACAGGTATTTCCCGACCGAGAGCGCCTTTTTACCCCCGTTGCTTTCCTCTTCTTTCTCCTTTCTTCTTCTTTCTTTCTTCTTTCTTTCTCTTTCCTCCATAGTTTATCTCTCTAAAACTCAAATTTCTCTACCTTCTCTCTAAGATCTCTCCTCCAATTCTCACCCAAACTCAGAAACTTTTACATATTCCTTCTCCTCTCTTCATCCTCTACATTCCTATACTAATTTGGTTCGATTTTGAGCAAATTTTTATTTTTGAAGACCCATATACAAGATGACTACGAAGAGGGCAATAACTCAAGTTGGCCGTGGTTCGGGATCGAGTACTCCATACGACCCAGATTTGCAACTACTACTAATATGTGTTTTCTAGTGTTTTCGTGGATTTGGTATTGTTTTATAGGATATTGCAAATATGGAGCATTTTCCCGAACTTACGATAAGCCACTACGAGCATTGGGGAAATATGACCATATTTCGTAGCCCAAGACCGGTTAGAGTCATCAAAACCGGTGATTAAGGGCTCGGCGAAGAAGAAGAGTTCGAGGCATTGGACCGAGTAGTAAAGACCCAAAGACGAAATCCTGATTGGGTCAAGAAAGTGCCTCAATCGAAGTCCATGTTTTCTCGAGTGCTCGCCCGACCGGGTGGGTGCCTCGCCCTAAGGCGCGCCCAGCCGGGCGAGGAAGGAAGAAAAAGACAGCCCTTCGCCCTGTCTAGCGCCCGCCCGGGCGCGAGTGAAGGTCTTCTCATCAAAAAGGCGGGCCTCACCGGGCGAAGCTCTGCCCGACTGGGCGCGTGTTTTTAAGAGGATTTCGACGATTTTAATTTGTTTTTATTTAGGATTTTTGTGCTTAAGTATAAATACGTTTAGTTAAGCTAGATACGATTACTTCTTCTCATTAGTTAATTTCCAGATTTTAGTTTTAAGCTTTTGGTTAATACTCTTGTTTTCTCTCTCTACACTTTTAGTTTATGCAATTCATTATTTCCGTTCATTTTGGTAACAATTTCTTCCCCTTTATTTTCAGTAATTAATTGCTTTGATTAATTATGTCTTGTTTATTTGCTTTGCTTAGTTTAGATTAAAATATGTGTAAGTAGTTTTATTTCTAGGGTTGTGGGGATCCATAAATAATACGAAGGGGTAATTTACTTTTGTTGATTGTTAATGTTTTGGTTGATTTCCTATTGATTGATTTAATGCTATGCAATTAGATTAGGCCTGGTTTAATTGTATGAGTTATGCAATATCGATTCGAGATTCAAGAGATGAGAATTGATGTTTAGGCTTAGTTTCAATAGGCAGGTTAATTTATTAATGGTTAAGTCAAGATTCGAGAGATGCGATTTAATACCGGTAGATTAATTCTGTGATTGTAATACGTAGCGAAAGCCCTTTATGATCTGATTAATTGATTCATTGATAATTGATTGTTGTGTTTTACCCTGTAATATTATTTATTGGTGAACCTATGCCCTAGGCTTTGATTTATTGATTTCCTCCCTTACTCAATTTGCTTAAGTTTATTTATTTTCCTTAGTTTAATTCTCACAAAAATAGTTTTGCTACTTAATAGTTTAGAATATATTAATTATTTAGGAATAGAAAGACTTGTTTCCCTGTGGATTCGACCCTACTTCCCTATCTAGTTTAGTTAGAGGACTTAGGTAATTCTTTTGATTAGGTGATACGACTTTAGCCTGTCACCGGACACGGATTATCTTTGCTCGATGGGTGTATGACTTGTGAATAGCACCAATCACTCTAAGTTAAGATGCACCTCAGGACCTTACAATGCAACTGCATTACAGGTAGTATGATACTCGTATTATTTATACAAATTGTTACAATTTTAATTAATTTATACTCGTATTATTTCATCTAAATAATACAAATTGTTACAATTTTAATTACTTATACCTCATGTAATATAGTTTTTGCAAATGATATGGCCATATATTGGTCAAGTTTTCAACAAAGTAACATCATTTTTTGGAGACATGAGTGAAGAAAACATGGCCATATAGTGACACGCTGTGAAATTTTGTTCAAGCTTTAATTTAATGGAGATTCAATGGAGAATAAAGGAATGCTTCTAGATGTCATGAAGAAGGAAAAAACTTATGTTGACTTAGTTCACAATAAAATTATTGTGGATTCGAGGTACATACACGTGCAACTGACATTGTATTGAATATAGTGACCCCAATTTTAATATAGTGATTTACCTGATCTTTATTAAAAGGTGTGTGACCTTTGATATTATTGTGAACCTGAAATACACACGTCTCAGACGTTATGTTAAACATAGTATCCCTAATTTTAACATAACAACCTTTATTATTCATATTACCTAGTATATTGAACTTTCATTCAAAAAAAAAATTAGTCTCTTATGACCTTTAATTTATAATAACACAATGACTTTTATTTGAGGGAACCTAGGTTAATCTCTGAGATTAACATTTCAATCTATCTCCTCTCACAACTTTATGTATTGATTTCTGTGCCACTTTATTATTTCACTTTTATTATTTAAAAAATAAAAGAAAAACTATATATTGTGAGAGGAGATATATTTACAAATTTATCTCTGAGATCAACTTGAATTATCCCCTTTTATTTTAACGCAATATCCTTTATTTTAACATAGTAATCTTTTTATATTTAATTAGTTATTGGCCCGGGCGATGCCCCGGATCATTATAAATATATTACTTTAATCGAACTATATAAAATTTGGCTTGTTTGTTACTGAGAGCTTAAGTGGTGGGTTCTTTTTTTTTTTTTTTTTTTTTAAAAATAAAATAAAAAAGATGATAGCTTAAATAGTTTGTTATTTATATGAGCTGGTTTGACTATAAGAATAATTTTTTGCATTAATATATATAGGGTAAATGATAAATCAATCGTGGTAAAAAAATAAATAAATAAATAAAGTTGATAAATCAAATCTTTATAAATTTGATGTCAATATATATGCTACTCCATAATGCACAAAAAAAAAAAATTACTCTATAATTACAATTGTATGAATTAATATATATAAATCAAATCTTTTACTCTATAATTACAATTTTATGAATTAATGCACAAAAATAAAATAAAATGGAGTAATGTTTAATTTCTTACAAATTTTATTATTGTGCAATTATTAACGAGTTATATTCCAAGGTAAATTTAAATAGGGTGTTATGCATATGAAGAGTTTTTCAATTAAACTAAACATTAATACATAGAGGTTAATGCATGGAGTTTTTCAATCATTAATGGAGCTGGTATGATATGACGTCAAATTATATGCCAAATGGCAAAATTAGTGACACATGACAAAATAACATGTCTTGCCATGAGTCTTAATAATATATATTGATAACTAGGGTGGCTAACACGCGCGATGCACGCACCATAGTTAGTCATGTCCGAAAAGCTTTTTTAGTTGTTGGTTACATTAATAAGAAAACTATGTAAACAAATATTTTAGGGTATAAATATCCGCACACTATTCTAACTAGTATAAAAAAAAACATTAATGAATACAAAAAAGAAAAAAAAAGCTAATTATTATTGATGAAGGTAAAATAAAAGCTTGTACATATTAATAAGGTTATACATGTAAATACTCATGTTGAAGGGTATAATTGACAACACATTATTCATAGGAGTAATCTTATACTTACCTTCATTTTTTTTAGTTGTCACATATTACTTTTTAAGAAATTTTTTTTAGTTGACACGTTTTCTTATTGGGTAAGTTTTTTACCTTGTTTTTTTAGTGTGCCCCACTTGTTTTATCATTATATCTCCTTCTCTCTCCCCTCCTTAATATGTGTGCCTAAATTGAACGAGTCAACTAGATAGAAACGAAGAAAATACTTTATAAGGTAGTAAATTAACATTAATGAATGCCCAAAAAAAAAAGCCAATTAACATTAATGAAGGTAAACTAAAAGCTTGTACATATTAATATGGTTAAACATGTAAATGCACATTTTGAAGGGTATAATTGGCAAACACTATTCATAAGAGTAATCTTATACTTTTTATAAGGTAGGGATACAACGACCATAGTGTCTCCAATATTAATGGTCAACGATAAATTAATGTAAATCAAATCTATTTAGAGTTTGTATATGAAGAATGGAGGAAGAAAAGGGGAGAAATTGCAGTGCCATCCCCAACTAAATAAGTTAAATTACTATTTCCTCCCCTGATAGTCATATTAGCTTGATTTTTCTCTTTTAGGTATTATTTATTCGAAAACAAAAGGAATTTAAAGATGGGGATTCGGTAGAGGTAATAAAAAATTTGGGCCAAGTCGAGCCTTAACATCAAATATTATGCCCAAATCCGCCAAAAAGAGGCGAGCTTAATAGGCCAAGTTGGGGTTTTTTCAAATCGAGTTCGGAATTAAAACTAAAATAATCTTTTTGGCTTCTCCAAACCCGCCCTATTTTCGGGTCGGATTAAACCAGACCATACTCGATCACCTTTAGGATTTGGGCTTGTTTGGTTGATCACCAAAAGTAAAAGTTGTAAAGTTATGTAAACTTCCGATATATACATAACAAACATAACATTTGTTTTTTTTTTTTTCTTTTTTGGGCGGTAATTTAAAATACAAAGTAAATTTTCTTTGAGTGGTAATTTTAAAAAGGTTGTTATTTGTGAGTGGTAAAATACGAATCTATATCTATATCTATACTTATATATTAAAAAACGTTTCTAAAACAAAATATGTGCCACGTGACACCTTTTATATTTTACAACTAAGAAATGAATTAATATTCTTAGCATCTTTGCTATCTTTTAATTGTGTTTCATATTTAATTATAATATACTAAATACTGTGTATTAAACATCAATTTGAAAGCACTTATTTAGTTTTATATTTATTATTGTTCACTTTTTATTTTAATTATATAGTTATATTTTATAGCTCAAATAATATTTTTTGATATTTAAAATAAAATCCGTACATCGCCCGCAGCACACACTAATTTTTTTGATTAAATTACCAATTTAAAATTTCCATGATTTGCAAATTCGTTCTTGAGTGGCAAACTTTGAAATAGTCGTTATTCGTTAAGCAGCAGCTTCATAAATTAACTGGAAGGCCTTTTCCACACAAATTATCAACTCTGACTTCGAATTTGCTAATTTTACAGAAATCAAAATCAAATTATAAATCAATTTGAGATTTCTGAAAATTTTCTGGGGTTTAATTTGATCTTGTCGATTGAAATCAGAGCGAAAGAGAGGAAGTTTGTTCAGATTAATAATGGGGTTCCTTGTTACATCCCTAATATTCTTGGTGATCGGAGTTATTGCTTCTCTTTGTACCAGAATTTGCTTCAATCGTGGCCCTTCTACCAATCTGTAATATCTCTTTCTCTCTCCTCTTACTGGATCTTTGAATCTGAATTTGCTCATTTTTAGCTCTGCATTGCTGTTTGATGGTTAATGATTGTTGATGTTCCTCTGTTTTGTTGATTGACTTGTTTAAATTGGGATATGGGGTTTAATTTTAAGTAATTTGGATTATAACTGATTTTCTTTTTTAGTGGAGTATTGAATTGATTCGATACATTGAAGAATGAAGAGTTTTTGTGTTGAAATTATTGTTTAAAAACTTTGATGTATATGATAAGAAATGTGGTTTGTTATGTTTTTGAGATGGATGTTTTTAATTTGATTTGATGGCAGTGTATGTTTACCGGAGAGGGTTTGAGTTCATAGAGTAAGTAAACAAAATGGAGTCTTCTTCTGTCGATAAAGATGAGTGGGTGATTGGGGAAAAGAGAATGGAGAAGTCATGACTTGGTGATTGATTTAAAGAAAATTACATTTGAGTGTGCAAGTTTTTTGGATTGTAGATATATTATGAGGGTCTTTATTATGGGAGGAATATCTTGGCTCGATTTCACAATTGCTCTATGTTTGAATAACAATAGGGAAGGAGAGGGAGGGGAAGGAATAAGAGGGAAGGGAAAGGGAGGTGAGGGGCGGGAGAAGGTGACCTTTCATTTTCCTCCCAAATCTTTCCAACAATGAAGGGATTTGGTTTATTAACAGTGTGTTTGGATAGATGATTGAGAAGGAAAAGAAGGGGAGGGAGGGGAAGGGGAGGGGAGGGAAGAACGATGAGTTTTTCTTCCAAATCTCTCCATTGTTGGAGAGATCAATTTCTTACAATTTAATCCCTCCATTTCTCTCCCCTCCAATCCCCTCCCTCCCTCATTTGTTATCCAAATGAAAGATTATCTACCCCTCCAATTCCCTTCCTTTCTTTTCCCTCCATTTCCTTCAATCCAAACAAAGTGTAAAAGGGGAAAGAAAATGGATACTTCCATTTCCTTCCCTCCTTGCATTACGTATCCACTATCAAAACAAAGGATGATGCATCCTTTCTCTTCTCTTCCTTTCCCTCCATTACTCTCTATCCAAACATAGTGTTGATGTTTAAAATATTTCTCCGAGAAGATTTCATGCTCAACAAATCAAGCATATTACGCGCGCGGGGGGTGGGGGGGGGGGGTTGATGTATCACTCTTGTTTTGCACATAACATATGAATCTAAACGAAGACAAATTGACCTTAGGAGATGAATAAGTTGGGTGTTGCTATCTACTAGATGAGGACGAAGATATTTTTTTGTTTTCTTGATATATCTACTTTTCAGCTCGCTTGTTTATAGTATTTGGCTCTTTTATGTGGCAGGTCACTTACTTAATTCTAGCAAAGTAGATTGATATCTTCAAAATTGATTTAGGGTGTAATAGGACCTTTTCTCATTCTATGAACCTATGTGATCTACAAATTGTCCAAGTTATACCTTAGCATTTTTATCTCACTGAACATAATCTGCACTCTGGAGTAGTCTTCTTGTACAAATGGTTGTTTTACTTGTTAATGTTGTTAATCTAGTAACTGAAGTATTTTAATTTCTGCAGGTTCCACCGAACATTGGTTATTACAGCAACAGTTTGCTGCTGGATGATGTAAGTCTATTACTTTCCTTAAATCTTTACTGGTTAAGTGAATCAAAATATTGCACTGGCTGAGTAACTATTTAAAACCACAAAATGTAGTACCAGCAATTGTATTAGCTTTTTTCTCTATCATATGTGAATGACTTTTGTGCAATCCTATAATTAGGTTGGAAACTTGTGACAAAATGCACTGGAAACTATAAATCACTTCTAGACCTCCATTTGTTCATGTCATTCAGATATGAAATTTTCTTTCTCTGAGAAAGTTGCTAGTTGTTCTGTAGGCTGAGGTCTGCAGATGGAGTATTAGCAACTGTCATCTCATGTCACCGCTTCAAATCTCTCTTCTTATAAACAAAATCATGACTATGCCCGGAAAGGCTTCAATTCAATGAGGAATATTGCAAAAGTGGGTTTTGTATGGCAAGTTTTTGTTTTCTTGGGAGAGAAGGAAAGAAACAATGGGAGGTGAAATAGTGATTCAAAATTATCGTGACAAATATGTTTCCTTCCGTCCCGGTGTAAGCTATATGGACTATAGAGTGATGCCAAGTTTCAAGTTTAGTGCATAGCTTTGTTGATAAAAGATGAGTACTTTCAAATTTTGGTCAATTGGTGACAGCTCGCAAAAATCCTTACTTCCCTAGGGAGAAAAAGATTTTTCTGATGAACTGCAGGCTGCAAAAAGCATGTATAATTATCCCCACTTACATCAAGAAATATTATTAGTCTAGTTTTCTATGTAATCTTATCCAAGAGTCTGTTGGAGAAGTTGTCTCCGCTTCTGAGTATTTGCCTTTGTAGACCCCTCAGATCAGATTCTCATTAATTGTGTTGCTAGTTGTTACAATTGTTTTTTTTTTTTTTTTTTTTTTTTTTTTTTTTTTTTTTTTTATAAATTTATTAGGCATTGCATGCTCCACTGAAAAGGCCAGCTGTACTAGTTGAGGGAATGGATGATTACTGCCTTCTTGGCTAGAAATGCCTAGAATGCAGTTTGAACAATTTACAGTCATGAGAATTTGGCAGGGATAATGGTTGATCTTGTTTGATAATCAGTTCTGTTGACCTCTGTAGTAGTCTGCATACCATGCGTAGTTCCGTACAGTTATAGACCATTTTTGCCTAGGTTTATTTGACAATGTGTTAGCTCTATTGTGTATTCCATTCAAATCGGAGATGCTGGAAAGCTTGGAATAACTGTTGACGCTGCTTATGGTTTTATATCCTTTCTCACTGTTGTTTATATATATCTCTATTTATGTAGGTGGGCTATTGTATATCTTGCGCAGATGAAGCCCCTCATCAACCCTATACTGAATGAAGCAGAGTGAGTTGGGTTTGTGGGCGAAATTTAGAAAGAGTGCTACTCTAGATACCATATGTTACCAGTTTGCAGATTTTCAGAGGAACTCATTAAGAGCGGTGCTAGCAACAATTTCTCATGTGGATTTGTATGTAATTCTATTATTGCAGAGAATAAAAATATTCCTTCATTTGTGGCTTTGATTATCCCCTTGTATTTTTAAGCACCAATCTACTTGCTTGAGTTGGTTTTGTGGATGAAATAAAATCAATTGGTGGATCACAAATATAGGCATGAAAAGAATTTGATGTGCCACGTTAGATATTGTTTGGGCGTATTGATTTAGCCAATTCTAGTTATTTTTGTTGAGCTCATTTAATTTTAAACCCAATAGGGTTTATTTATACGTATCATTTGATCAATTCCAATAAAAAAAATTAAAACTGAATTTGTCTTCCTTTCTAATTTTATACGACTATATTACTTTCTTATCAACTGATAACGTAAGTTTTCCAATTTCGGAAGTTTGATTCTCTTTGCAATGGGTTTGTTTGGTTGGGCTGGTACTCAGAGCTACTAAATCAGACAAAAGTTCTGGAGCTGCAGAAGGGGAGTGGAATAAAGTGGACATTGGTAGAGACTTTGATCAACTGAAGGAATTCAGATAAGACCCTTATGATCAGTATGAAGTCAAATGCATTGTAGGGAAGAGCCCGTTTCTCTGGCATGATCATTTGCCTGTCAAGGACTATGCTAAGGTTTCTGAGGCTTAGCTTTAGTTGATGAATTTGCAAAAGAAGCAGATCGAGTTGTTTTTAACATTAGATTAGATCTGTAGGGGGAGAAGCCATAGGTGAGCAATTGGCACCTGAGCTGGGTCAGGGTGCTAGTGGGGTCAGATCCAAGTTGCAGCCTATGCCTTATATGGCTGTTCATATGAAGATAGAGAAAGAATGGATGATTCATTGTAAGAAGCTAGAGCAAAGATCCAACATCAATGAAATTTGTAGCAGCAAGGAAGAAATTATAGAACGAGTAGGGTACATTAAGAAGCTGAGCACACCAACAGTTTTTTACTTAGTTGTTGCAGATAGTCTGTTGGAAGACAAGACAATATTGAATGGCTGGCAAGAAGGCTTGCTTCCTTTCCAGAAAAAGAAGCTAGGTGTTAAGTCATATTTATGACAAATAACCTTATCTTATCAAGTCAGCCATTGACTATGAAGTTTGCTTAGAGCAGATGTTTTTGTGCGAAACTGGGAATAGCTTTTCCACTTTCTCTAGTCTCATAGCGCTTGAGAGGACACAAAAGATGATCCGCATGGGAGTTTCAATTTCTTGTAACAACAGCATAAGGTGGCCTTCATATGCCTACAATATAACGGGAATTTGGTGGTCCGCGAAAGTGGCTGATGACCCAAGCATCCAATTCGCTCCAACAGACAGGCATGGATGAAGATCGGTCCTCTCTCAGACTTCTGTTGTCATGATAAGCGTAGAAGAGGACTTTTCAGAAGGATGCTTGCTGACCAATGTGTCAGACACAAGCCTTCAATCTATTAGCTATGGTTCCATCATGTCACATGTTGTCTGTCTTTCCTTGCTGTTCTTGAACATATTCTGTGCATAACATTCTTGATATACTGATTGCTGGTATGATTTGAAATCTTAATATTCATAATTTGATTGAAAATGAGAGCAGATAGCTTGGGGCATAACATACTATTTTGTACTTGAGCTTTCTTTTGGGATATGCTCTGCCAGCATCTTGGTATATTGATGAAGTCACCAAAGGAATGCTGTTCCCAGCTTCAGGGAATTTACAGGTTTTATTGTTGGGATTAGATGTTATTTTATTGCATTTTTATTCTTGATGCTGTTTTTTATCGGAAGGTGTACATAAAACAGTAGAATTTGAAATATTACCTTTTTATATCCAGGATTAAATATTATTGTCTTGCTTTTCCACTTTTCGACCCTGTTTTTATTGAAAGATGTACCTAGAACCTGAAAAATCACCTTTGTATATCCTGTATATTGGCATTCTGCAATGGCATTATAATGGAAAAGCTTTGCTAACCTGCATTGAAACATTGATGCACTTTTATTCTTTTAGAGCTTGAAAACTCAACTTAATTGTCTCCTTGTTAAAAGCTGTTGACTGTAGACTTGAAACTCTTCAGGTTGGTACACATTGATTCTGCTGTCATCTCATTTGATTGCTGATTGTGCTTATTAATTGTTTTTCAGTCCTTCTTTCCCCTCTCTGAGCATGATTTTCTATGCTGGTTGGAGTGAGCCCTTTGCTTACTGCTTTAAAGTAGAGATTTCTCTGTGAAGTTTCTATGCTGTTTTGCTAATGTTCAGGCATGTCATCCATTGGTTTGGAGCATAATTTTTTAAGCATGGGCTATTTGGATATGATCTGAAGATAGATTCATGGTTTCTATACCACACAGATAATGCTGGCTTCATCTGTTTTCTTTTTATTTCCCATTTTATTTATACAAAGAGTCATATCCTTACAAAATTATGAGATTGGGGTACATTGAATTTGAATTGCAGACTCCATGTTGTATGTATCCTAATTTTTCTGCTTGAGCTCCCCATCTTCTGTCCACAATTAGTGTATACATGGTTATATTCGTTGGTAAACTTGTTATGGCGCAAAAGAGCAAGGATTATACTCTTAAAAACTTTTGAACTCCGTGTATGTTGTGAAAATATATGGAAGTGGCCTCTGTTGCATTAGAAGCAGATGAATTCATTCTTCAGAAAGATAGAGTTCACTACCATAGTCTGAGAATTCGCTGTGGAGGACCCACTAAAGATGATAAGAAATCAATGGGAAGACCGTTTTTGATTTCTGCAGCGCTTTGGTGAACTGAACTTAGTCTGTACATTCTAGTGCACCTTTTCAAGTAGGTACAGAAGTTGTTTGAACTTTTCATGATCATGCTTTATTTGGTGCTGAAATGCTGTACTGAAATTCGTTATTCATGATGAGTGGTAAATTATTGCTTATGCTCCTCACTTCTATATGAATTTGGTAGTTTTGGTTTTTGACATACCCTGCAATGTGCAATTAAATTTTAACTATTAATTCATGGCAGTCTGAAAGAGCAATCGCTAAGTTGTATTTGAATGTTTATAGCCATAGGGGCAAGTCTGCGTACAGCTTAAATTTTGTAAGCCCTGCTGGTGGTAGGGGCTGTGTTAAGATAATAGGATTCTAGTTGTTCTGCTGCTGCAGCATTTCCCTTTTAATATATATTGTATATGTGTTCAACACAAGAAGAATTGCAGGTGTATCCCTCTCTGGATGCACTTATTTCTCAAAGGGGGAGGCAGGTACAGTTATGGTGTTTCAACCTAATATATAGAAATTCTAGTTTGGCATTGTTTGGTAGCTGGTTGGATATGCTGTAAAAAAGTAAATTCTTTTGTGTATTAATTATAAAGTGTTAATCGGCTAACATATAATAGATGACTTCGTCAAACATCAAAATTAATAGCTAAAGCTACCAGCTGACTAAAAGAATATATATAGCTATACTAACAGCTGGTCAAGCAAGCCAACTTCCAAAAACTAACAAACTGCAAAACAAGCCTTTGTCCAATTACTGTGAAGTACATTAGTTACTGATCTTCAGTTTCAGTTTGTGTTGCTTATATGTTTTAATTTAAACTGTACTCATGTTTATATTTCTGTGCAACTTGATGTATTGTGCTGCATATGCTGAAATTTTGTGACTGCATTCCCATATTCATTTGTTTCTGCGGTACTGGTCAAGATCTTGACTATAGGTTCTTGAAGCCATCCCTAATATATTGTGATTTTATTGTCTACAGGTTTTCAGAACTGCGCATTGTTTCAATCACTCCACTCCAACTGATTTTGAATAGACTTGACTTGGTCAAAGCTGTGTTAATCCTGGAAAGAACCGACTGGTGTAATAATTTGCGTTCGACTTAAAGTGTTCCCTTGGTATGGTGTCTGGGTTATGTGGAGCTGTCTTCCATTCAGATAAGTTATGTTTCACTTCTTTCTGTATTATGCACCTAGATTGAACATAGTATATTCCGCAGTGCATATAATTTATATGAACTTGTACTGTAGTTGCATTATTGATAGAAATAGTTATAGGAAAATCAGTCTACCGTGGAAAATATTGGTCTCTTAAGAATATAATTTCTTTCCTTCCAAATGTCATGAACATATAGCTAGAAATGCTGATCTCTTCAAACAATTTGCTGGATTCTTTGAGTCACTAAATGTCAAGCTGAAATTACTAAAACAAGTAAACAACCCTTTCTTTTCATCTATTTTCACACATTACCCTCATTGTTTATTCTTTCTCAACACCTATCACTGGGATCTCACTGCCTGGGGATCCTGGGGCACTGACTCTGCTGTGAACATCAAAAAATGGTGGCGGAAACTACTAATGTCAACAAGATGTACGCTTTAACCCATGGTCAAGTGTGCTGAAAGCCTACTGGTGTCGACACAAGTAAATGTCCTTGTGTCCATGTCTCAAACTGGATCATATCTTATAAAATTTCAAGGTGTCCAAGCCCATGTCAGACTCCTGAGTTCCAACAAGTGTACACGACTGAAACTAATATTTTGAGTAACGTGTGAAACCATATTTGGACATGAGTTTAGGCTTGTTTTTGCACTCCTATCCAGTTGTAATGTGTAAATTCCACACACCTTGTCATTTAGAAGGCTATTTCATGACCAAATACCTAGGCTTTTGAGTAACAAGCCACCTTGAAACACTTGCCTAAATATTTCATGAGAAAATGGGAAAAATAAGTTGAATAGCATCTGTTGAATTCAATTTGTAAAATGTAACACCAATTAATGCTGTTAACCTGATGAATAAAGCTCATGCATGCTTGTGATTTACGCACAACCAATTTAATAATTAAGACCTGCTTTATGTAGGAAATCTTTTATCCCTTGGTGACTTTTTTTTTTTTTTTTTTTAATAAGGTATTAGGGATTAGGGAAGAAGATTATTTGGTTGCAAAACGTAAATATGTTTTCCATTGTTCTTATATATACTTCCTTCTTACAGGGGTTTGACACAGATGATCACATTCAACATATGAATTGACAATTTCATGGTATTCATCCAACAAGTATGAGACTGGGCAAAGGATCCGAATTGGTTTTCTCAGGGCCGCCCTGTCCTTCCACAGCCACCTTGAACTATGAAAGAAACACAATATATGGACATTGAATTATGAGCAAAAGATGCAATAAAAATAGAACGA